CAACCTTGATAGACAGCTGCACAATCAAAAGCAATTCTCAATTTTCCAGGCTTTTTAGGGTTGATAACAGGATAATGAGGAATATACCAACAAACAGCATCACGGTCAAATCCCTCCTTACTAGCTTCAATGATGTAACCCTTACTTAAATGCTTATTCATTACAACTTGATATTTCTCCAGAAGACTATTATCTTTCAGAAACCTCTTCCTTAAACACTCTAGTCTGCGTTCAGCTAGTTCCAAATTATTCGGTAGTCTTGGCTTAGCATACTTTCACGGTAGACCAACTTGGAAATGGCCACCCTCCAGTCTAAAGGAACTACTAACTATTTCCAGAGCTCTTTTATCTTCGACAGAATATCCATTACGAAACACATCTGGATCCTCAAACTCATGATTATATAAACTTTCTATATCTCGCAAAATATCATTAGTAGAACAATGACACCACTGAACTTGATGTAGAGACTTCGATACTCCTTTAGGACCTAAAATCATCCAACCGAGATGAGTACACACACCAAACGGATGCTTCCTGTCACCCAGGCGCTGTTCAAGGACCCAATGTGCATCAGGAGCATCACACCCAATCAATATTCCTACCAGATTACTTTGCAACCTCGGAAGGGTTATGTCCTTTAAATGTTTCCACCTTCTCAGCTGGAGTTCGATTAAAGGTTCTGCATAATCGATCGGAAGTTTCTTGGTCGTATAAGCTTTGTTGATCTTTATTGAACCCCGTTCATCTAACGAAAATACCTCTAAATTTACTTCCAAACACTCACAAGTAGAAGTTCCATTCACAGTCGTCACCCTTATCGAAGTCTCCTTACCTTTGAGACCCAACCGATTAATTAACTCTTCACATACAATAGAGGTATCTGAACCACTATCTAGAAGGGCGTATGTTTCCAAACATCCTTTGGGGCCGTATAGTCTAACCGGAATGATGCCCAAACAAACCTTTGAGGAGTTCAAATCCTTAGCAAAGTTCACCACATGTTTGTTATTAGCATCAATATGTAATAATGGATTATGCCGAATCTTACAATTATCAACGTCACACTTTATGTCCGAGTTACACGACTTGGCTATGTGACCCTTCCTTAAACATTGGTAACATAGACCCCGTCTTCTCACTTCCTGTCTCCTTTCTGTAACATTCATTTTCGATAACTTCGTACAATCTTTCTCTTTGTGATCACCAAAGCAAATTTCGCAACTTAAAGTCTTGAGTGAGTTGCTTGGTTCCCGCCTAACTACATTGAGGCGTGATCTATCAACTTGGCCTTCATAATTTCCTTTACGGAACTTTGAGTTACAATGTACCAATCTACCAAAACGTGATCGAGCAATCCTGGCTCTTTCTTCTACAAACATTATTAATTCTACAAAGATCGGCTCCCTACCGGCCATCATGATCCTATCGGCAGCTTCCACCCATTTATTCTGCAATTCTAAAGGTAAACGTGACACAATTATTTCCAGATTAGCCGTAGAACTCACATCAGACATATACCCCATTTCCTTCAATGTTATGCATACATTACGTAGCTTAATTGCGAAGTCAGTTAGGCCATCGGCGGATCCTTCAACAGATTTGTGGTTGAGTAATTCAGTAATAAGATTACGAGCGACAAGGTGTTCTTTACCAAATAGATCATATAAAATTTGTTTAGCTCTATCGTAACCCAAATGACTGGGCAAAGAAATACAAGCTTCAGTAGCCGTTCTGGCTTTTCCTTTACAATAGTATGACAAATATGACAACAACTGGCACTTGTCAGACAGTTTACTCTCGATAATGCTTGTAAACTGACTAATAAAACGGTGGTACTGGCTTGGTTGTTCATCAAAAAACATCATATCAATCTTAGGAAAAACCGTACTATTAACCGTAGTACGTAACGTATCCTTTAATTCATCAATCCAATCGCATTTTGAGTTGTTAAATACCTCCCCGGAATGCTTATTACACGCAATGTCACAATCCAAGTACCTTTCCACCTTAGCATTTATCTCAGACTTGTCTACTGGCAGTCTGTTATCGTTTTCTATGACCTTACATTCTAATTCGGCCATATCAACCTCCTCTTGAAGCTCTAACATTTTAAGCTGCCTTTTCAACTCAAGTCTCTTTTCCAAAATTTTCTTCTTTAGTAATGCCTTATCTAACCTCAATCTAGAAGTATTAAACTGAGCTGAGGACATACTATTAACACTAATATCATCACGTTTATCATCATTAAATTCAGACATACCACAGACAGCTTTAGAAATTTTACCATCCATTTCGTCATTTTTGTTCGGTTTTTTGCTTCTCGTTTCCATCGTATGCCTTTGTTCGAAAGAATCGGTTACCAAAACAAATGTGAATTAATCCAAGCGAATTCGACCAATATGACCAGAAATTGAACTTTAATGTTGCGTCCAAGTTAAGGCTCCTTCCCGTTATTGAAGTACGGTATGTCGATCTATTTGTAATTTACGAACTCAAATTAACAACAGAACCAAAAAACCAAATTAGGTACCAAGTTTATTCGCAATTCACAAATAGTCGACCAAATGTCGTTCTTCAATTTTATAGGTTCCTGGAGCAAAAAACTTCCAATTACCAAGCCAAAGACAAACAGAAACCAAAAATGTCCGAAATAATGATATAAACAAACAAGTTCAGAAGTTAAGTAAAACAAATACATCCAAAATACCAGTGAAATTAATGATATTTAATATAAAGGTTTTAATCAGCCAAATGTCTTCAGTTCTCCCGTAACAACAAGTATTCGGAGTTTGACGAAGAATTAACTAGTAGCACCTTTTATAGTCAAAATATACCAACACAGTCAAACCAGAAGTCAGAAGCGAAGGGTTTCGAAAGTGAATTCGGTAGGCTATCATTACGTCAGGCAGTGATCAATCTAGGCTGGCTAATGGCTGTGCGAGATGTGAAGGTCGGCGTACCAACTCGTGATCTGATTTGGATGCATGACCGAGTATCTTCAGTTAGGCCAGTCGTGTAAAACTAACGAGGTCAGCGTCAAATACTAAAAACTTGCAGAACTTTTTTGGCGATTTATTTACCACTAAATATGACTACTCTACATGAAAGCAATTGAGAAATGCTATTAGGTATCATAAATGTAGTACAAAATAATCTAATGCAATAATGAAACTCGCCTGTATTACTCTCGCTTCCAAGTAATGGAGATTCAAAGAAGACAGTAGTTCGAGTTCGGACTATATATGACGTATTATTGAGTAAATTCATATCTTAGCATTAGATTATAGACTGCATTTGTATGGGTTCAGAAACAATCAAAGGCCAAACACGTAATATTGCTTGAAAGACAATTTAAACAAAATCTAAGATTGCAGGAGATTTGTAATTCAAACTCACCATAAATTTCTTGTATTCGTATCTTTTGTTTGACTATGGAACTGAGCAATAGGACAAGTAAGTGAAACATTTCAATAGATAGTTACTGACAGAAAGTATTTTATAATAAAGAAGCAGGTAGGTGGATTTATAATCAACAGCTGGTCGTGTCTTGTTTACATAAACTATAGACATACATGTGTTTGCGCTAACTTCTGGCTGTACTTACGGGTGGTTGATATTTAAATTCACATTACACAGGAGCGTTTACATGCTGCTAATGCTTTTCAAAGAACCATAATAGTCAATTATAATAATAGCTGATTGGTTAGTTCTACCGGCTGAACTAATTAATTAAATTTAAGTACTAATTAACATTCATACAAACAAGCTATTGTTCACAGTAATTGACGACCTAAAGCGACGAAAAAAAGAACAAGTATAGAGTACAGTAAAAGGGATTGTAGTAATCTTTGGCGTTAATAGAAGTCTTGCTCACAACTGGATTCTTCCCTGACTGATTTGACGAACTTCGATCATAAAGTAGTTACTTGTAAAGTTTTCATCAAGTTCCGAATATCAGCCTCACCATAAGAAACTGGGCCTTCGTCGGAAAACAACTTGCAAAGACGAATTCCGATCGAATCGCCGACTATCCTTATAATTGAAGGCTGGTTGACTCATCTGTTGACAGAGTTTTCCCCTAAATTTTCAACCAAGGGGACATACAGGCACTTCAGGAGGATCTGTCTCGACTTCAAAGTTGGGCAGACGATAACGGACTTGCCTTTAACACTTCAAAGTGTAAAGTAGTCCATCTGCGACACGTCGCAGATTACAGTTACAACTTAGGAAACTCCTCTCTAGTAGTATCCCGAGTCGAAAAAGATCTAGGAGTTCTGGTGCCCTACGACTCAAAGTCGTACGCCAACTGTGACAGAAATGCCTTTTGAGCAAACCTTGCACTGGTAACATTGAAGCGCATTTTTGGTCAGTTTGACGGGAGAACTTTCCACATAATCTACAATAGTTTCATTCGGCCCTATTTAGAGTACGGAAACATAGTATTCCCTCCTACACTCCAAAAGGATAAGGACACTCGGGAGCATATCCAACGGCGAGCCACGAAATCAGTTCGGGGACTCAAATTTAAACCTTATGAAGAGCGCCTCCAATCACTCGACCTTTACCCATTAGAGTATAGGCGTTTTAGAAGTGACCTTATGATGGCCCACAGTATCCTTAACACACCTGGTCATCCTCTTAAAGACCTACTTAGGCTTAGTCCCAACACTAACCTAAGGGGTAACACCCAGAAATTAGAGATGCAACATAGTAGAACGGACTGCAGACACAAGTTCTACTCCTTAAGAGTTGTCAAATGCTGGAATTCGCTGCCAGCTGAGCTAGTTCAAGCAACTTCTCAGGAGTTCTTTAAGAGGCGACTTGATCTATTCTTAAGGACTATGGATAGTATCTTACTATGATTTACCAATCTCTTTCTCTTTTATCGTTAATATACCTAGGTTCCTACCTAGATGTATTGGTGATCCCCTGCTACTAAACACAGAGGTCTGTTAAGCGAAAGCTTCTTCTATTCCGTCCACAACCATCTGCACCATTTGAACCATCTAGTCTGAAACATCTGGAGGAGATTTGAATAGGATATCATTTCAAGGTCACAGGCGGATAATTGCGAACTTTATTATGATCGACCTAAATACCAATGGACAGGCTCTTTGTTCAGCAGTTAATTATGTTTTAGATGGGAAATGGTCTTGGTAAAAAATGACATATTACGTTGATTTCTTCAGGGTAATCTTTGGATATATGGGACTAACCCATACGCTAGACGTCAAAGATCAAGGTTACCGTTTTCGTTTTATTTCATGGTATTTCTTATGTTTATCAGGTCAAGATTTGGATCAGTTTCTGAATAATTTTTCTTCTGGAAAAGTTCTCTATGGTTTCATTCGTGTTGAAGTTGTAACTCCTGCGAAATTTGTTTTGATTGTGTGGGTAAGCTTTCCTGTCCTGTTGATTTTGATATTTCGGTTGGTTTTTTGTTGCTCAATACTTTGATGTGGAGTGTAAATGTACACATCTGAACTATCCGGCAGATCATATACCAAAAACAGATGTCCTTCATCAATTTATTAGTGCGACATCTGGTCCTTAAAATGTAAATAAAGTTGAAAAACAAATTGTAGATGTAAATTAGCACTTCGGATCAAACATGTAACCATTATAACATTGACTACCCAACCTTTTCGATCACTTTTTTTCAGATACTTGATCTTAACAATTAGGTTTTATTTATTTATGTTCTGGTGGAGTATTCCAGCATTTCACTTCTCGGTGTGAAATGCGGAACTCCAAACATAGACAATTTGATTTCGGTTTTTGAACTTAGGATGTGCCTTCGAATTATCAGCCTTCTCCTTCCGTCTAGGACTGGTAATTTGTAAGGACATTCTAAGAAAGTTCAGAATCCTAGATCGAATTGTCTACGTCTGGAGTTCTGCTTCTCACATCGAGTGGTGAATTACTAGAGTTCTCTACCAAAACACGTAATACCAACACCTGTTAGCATATCCTAAACGAAAGTCAACCTCCACGTTATTACAAACTGCAAGGAATGATGTAGGTCGATAGACCTATCCTTACTACTGAAGGCAACTAGTATATTGGTAATTGTTTGAACCATATCTTTTGGGGTAGGCGAATTCAGTACAACTTCACTAACCACGGTGCACTAAGATTTGAACCAATTATTCATCTATAAGCCGTATGTGGTTAAAAGTTTTCTTGATAAGTAAAGAGATGGAATCTCAACCACTTGCTGATGTAAAACTAGCTAGATCTAAACGCATTGGGGATTTCCACTTTTGTAACTGCGCCGTTCATTGTGACAGTGACTTGTAAAATGCAGAAGTTTATTTATAAAAGGAAGTCTGAATTTGGGTTAAGTTGAGCTGAAAACTGAGTTCTAACAGGACCATACAGTTCTATTAAAAATTAGAACTTGTAAATTGTCTCTGTTGCCAATTGTTATGGCCTTCATTTTTCCCGTATCTCCGTCCCGAATTGCTATTACTTACGTCGCTTATTACTTATACTTCATAAACTAGGAATCACTGCAAAATAAGAACACGAGAAACTGGTATAAGTGGAAATTTATTACCCCCAAAACACGATGTCTACAATAGTTGAAAATACTCTCATTTATATATGGATATGTTCATACGTTTAATTATTAATTAATGAAAAGTCACGCATATGAAATCAGAGCACAATCGTACGCTGTGTGTCATAATGAACTCACCTAACCATAATTTTATCCATAGAATATCATATATTGAATGAACGCCATGTGGCGCAGGCGGAATATCCGTCTTTCAACTAAAGGACGAGTTTACTGCTCAGCAGTTCACTCCATCCAACTCTATGAGTGTGAAACATGGCTATTTAGAATAAAAAACGTTTGTAGGTTACTGGTATTCGATCACAGGTGTTTTCGAAGCATTGCTCGTGTATTTCCGGGCCAGCGAGTGAGGGATTCCATGGTCAGGAGTAGGAAACAATGCAAATATGACAAATCGATTGATGAGGTAGTAAATGTTGATCAACGGAGTTCATTGGGATATGTGTTACGTAGGCCCAACAACCGCCTACCTCTACGGTTGATGTCCTCTAGTGTAAGAGTAGATCAGAAGGATTGTAGGTGTGGCCAAACCGAAACATAGCATCAGTCCATGAAGTTATTGAGAATCATACTGAACCATGTTATCATGTGTAGACTATCTGGTTGGGGTCTGTGCGATTATCGTAATCAGTGGTTAGAGACTTTTGATTACATGGCTAAAAACGGTTTTCACTGGTGCAGGTGCATCCATGGTTTGTTTTCCCTCAAATCCTGATATTCTTGGTTTCTCACAACTTTCTTTGTTTTTATTGCACAAATTTAAATATTCTTTTCGAGTTGTGCCTTCAATGCCCAATCTTTTCTATTACGGTCGATATCTTTACTACCTGTACTATTCTTGGACATGGTCTGAAAATATAATTTCTCTGTGCCAATGAGGTATGGAGATTAAACCGATGTAGATACACATCAGGTTTGATATTGACGCATGTTGGCATTAGATGATCGGGCCTGTTGAATCGGTTCTGAGATTTCGTCGGCACAGACCATCACGACTGATAAGACTAGGTTAGTGGATTTGTCGAGGCATTCAACTACTTCTTTGCCTATCAATATTTCAGTGGTTGACACAAGCCAATCTCAAATCAACATTTCGGATTTGAAGGGAGAGAATCGCATCCCAATCGTACTTGCATTGCTACTTTAGGTGGTCAGAAGTCTCTGCACTTCGTCAGCATCTTCAACAAACAAAACTAGATCATCTAGGTATTCTAAGTCAACAAGAACATCTCCTAGTAGAATATCGACCCCTGAAAATTCAGGTGATGAAAGCGTCATCTCTAAGCGCATGTGTATAACAAGGTTAAATAAAAAATGGGATCAGTGACTTCTGTGCTATTTGAACAGAGTGTATCAAGTGAGCGGAAATAAATTACCTGATGAGTTTTTTCCTAGCTAGTATTAACTTTGACGGTTGTTGTGTTCGAACTTAATCTACTTTAACGAGTCAAGTATATCGAAACCGTGCATTTGTCAGGTAGGGATTAATCGTAACTTAACTACAGTAGGACATCTTTGGGAGTGTTTCTTTTACTATGTATAGCTTGTAATCAAAATTAGAGTTCTAGATTATTTTTGACATCAGTGTTTTCCGATTGATTCAGTACGCTAGAATACTGATGACGCATATGTTTTCACTAAAAATCTTTATTGACTATAGAAATACGGAATTTCAAGGGAGATATGCCCCCTGATACTTTATTTATGATTGACCATCTTTGTTCCAAATTTGCTTTTACGAACTTACTGATAAGTGTTTTTGCAAATATCTCGGTGGATCTGACGCGCCCAACCTTCACAACTCCTACCAAAGTTTGAATTATGGAGTGTTATCATAATTCATCGTACACTAGGTTATCATAAGTCCATATATGGTTGCATATTTGACTCTAAATAATAATTTAAGTGGACTTAGACAGTATTACTCTTCTTTTGGTAGTTTTTTAATCTTAAGTTTTGCGATGAGATTCACTTTGTGGTTGATTTACATAACTACACAATTGGCGTACTAGTTTTTCTCTCGTGCAACCCTAACTTTCTTCTTGATTCTAACACCGGTTTTTATAATTCCTAATTTTATGTCACTTAGCAAGGGGAGGCGTCATCTGAAAGCTTTAAATTGGCTTGTCCAAGACATATTGACTGTGTAAAACGGCTGTGTCGAGTGAGTTTATGATATTTTGATTTTAATTTACTCCTGATTGGTAACCAAAAGAATTTTTTTTAAGTTTGAGGATTGTTAATATGTCGCCTTCATATATTTTCGTGGGGTAATTATCTCCACACGTTTTTAAGATTATGTAGTTTGAGTACTGTTGTGAATTGAAAATTATGGTTTTTATGTCTAAATCTTCATCTCGATATTTTTCCCTTCAGTATCGATTTCTTATCAATGTTTAGCTTCTATAATGCTGTAATATATATTTAGGAATACCTATTACTACTACTTATTAGTGTTTACATGTCTCTTGATTGTTGATTGACATGAATACTAGACCTGTAGCTTTTTACAAAATAGCTTAGCATTACTCTATCCTTCAAATAAAATATACGGTTTCTCAATGTTAAGCATCAATTTAAGGGACAATGCTTCACGTGTGTTGATAATTTGATGCTTATGTAAACAATGACGGAAAACTTTATTGTTTTTTCAGACTTAGTTGTGAGAATTCTTCAAGCAGATAATTTTATACGTGATATTTCGTCTAATGCTCTACATGGTATATTTATGATGTGTGAAAACTTGTTAAACTGTTGAAATACTAGTTTCAAGATTCTGGTTCTAACTTTCTAGAGGTTAGAGTTATCTGCTTTTTTGCTAGTGTATATTTCCTTGGTTGATGACAGGTTTCTTGCAAATATATTTGGGAATTCGTTTTTTCAATGACATGCCAAATGATTAACCTTTGTTTGTGAGAAAGACATACTACATTATTGATGTATTAACTCAGGATATCAAAGAGCTCATTTATATATAGTATTTGGTAGTTGCTCTTACCATGGATATGTAACTTTCAATTACTTGAAGTTATTAACGAATACCATGAAGTGATATCTGAAAGGATAGAAAAGTCAGTTAGATTGCAGAACAACTCAGTTTGCGTAGTTTACATATCATGTTCTATTTAACTGTTGTCTTGTTATGGAAAAAAGCATGCATCAATATTAGTATGAGGTTTTTAAACGAGCAGTAAACTGCTGAAACTTTCTATCATATTAAAAGTCATTTTATGTGGAACGTTATGATCCCTTTAGACTCCAGTTTATATAATAAGCCACGTGTTAACGCACCAAACAGTATATCTAAAATATGGTTCAATTGAGCTAAAGCAATACGAACTTGATACTTTGATGAATTCATTCTTATTTAAAAAAAAAGTCAACGCTCCGAATCAAGAAAAGAGTGTTAATCATTACCTTTTGTTGGGGCCGGAATTGTGAATAAAAGCCCTTAAAACTGCAAAATCATAGGATATTCTTGACTTTAAATTTTTTTGCCTAAGAATGCCTTGTGCTTACTAGAAATTCGTTAGGAAGTAAATGTGAATAAAGCATCACTTCAAGTGGTATATGTTAGGTCGATCTAGGTGACTACAGCCGTATATGTTTCCCGCGAACACTAATTTCAGTTTTAATCCCATTTGTTAAGCAGATGGTTGTGGATTCTTTCTCTTCTTCATGCTCTCAGTTCTATCTTAAGTCATTGACAAACCTGAAACTAAGAGGTCAATGCACAAAGTCCAAATTCATTGTTTAATTTACTAGTCAGTATCAATACGTTAGTATAATAATGGTGATAATAATGTTAGTAAGAATTCTAATACACGTAGACACTCATCCAAATGTTTACATGTTATTTTCTAAACTGTTATCACTGCAACGCAGTAGTAAATGTCACAAAGTTGAGACCCCATAGTCTTACGGCTGTTTGTAAAATATCTAGACTAATAAGCTAAAACAAAATGTCACTTCATATTTCACACTTGATGAGTTAATTCCTAATCTCTGCACTAGAAAATAAGTATTTTCGCTTCCTAAAGTTAAATTGTCCAGTTTATTTTGGAATTTTTATGATGGTGGAAAGTTTTTGTGGTATATATAGAGTTTCCTAACACTATGTTGTTTAATTTCTTTTTAAACATTATCATCAAGCTATTAGATCATATGAAAAGTTCACTACTTCATATGGTCTCTTTTTGAAATTATTTTTGTAATAGACAGTTCATGTTACGATCAACGCAAGAAGTGAGGCAAATTTGGATTGGAATGAAATCGTTACTAAAATTCAAAATTTAACAGGAAGTGTTTCTCAGACTCAGCCGACCAATTCTAATAATACGGATGATGAGTTTGTACCTACAGTTAGTTTTATGCTACTATTTAGTGTTTTGATATAAATTGATTTTGAAATTAGAGCTTTCACGTGCTTTTTTATACAAGTTCACTGCCACAAACCTCATATGATTTTCAATTGTGTCAGATTTAATGATAAACTGAACTTGTTATTTTTAAGTTTCTTTTTTATATTTTGCATTGCAGTTCATACGAAAACAGTGCCACTTATTCTAGCGGATATTTCTTATCTGAACTTATTATTTTTTGTCTGTGTAATCTATTACTAATATTGTAGTGAACAAGAACACCAATGTGAACTATCGGATGTATTTGAGAATTAATTACAGCACCTGTTATTAAAATCTAACAACCATGTAGTGAATCGTTAATTTGCAAAATAACAATCCATCATATCAAACTGGACTGTTCCTGTTGCAAACATCAATCGATTGTCTGACATTTCATTGTTCATGAGTTTCCATACAAATTCCACTGTGTTCTCGCTCTTCCTTTCTTGATCTTTCCCCATCTTCTGCTGCCAGACATTACGTTTAAAACTCGCGTCATATACTACATATGTCTACATAAGTAGCACACACCACAATATCACATAAAAAATTACCACTTAAAGACCATCTCATAATAGCGTGTCAATTAAGGAATATTTTCGCCATAACTAGGAGCGTCTTTTCCATTCAGCTGATATGTTTTTACAAGTTTTTTTATGTCTTAAATTCTAGTTTAAAAATCTCAATGACTATTCCCTAGTGCTGTTAGAAAAGTTCTCATGGTATTTAGAAAACCACTAAAACATCTAAACATTTCAATACACAATATTTTCCTAAATTCTCTGTAAGAATGCATTTTGGGTGCTGTGAACTACCAAGTAAGATAGTGAAAATCTCATCAGATGTTATTTAGAGAATGAGTATTGGTTTTTCGATGAAATTATTTTTTTCTCGTATTTTTTTTAATCCTTTTTTTACTAAACAGTTAAGGTCAAACTGTCTAGAATATTTCCTAGTTATCTACGGTCTATATTACTTACTTACTTACTTACTTACTTACTTACTTACTTACTTACTTACTTACTTACTTACTTACTTACTTACGCCTGTTACTCCCAATGGAGCATAGGCCGCCGACCAGCATTCTCCAACCCACTCTGTCCTGGGCCTTCTTTTCTAGTTCCATCCAATTCTTGTTCATTTTTCTCATATCTATCTCCATTTCCCGGCGTAATGTATTCTTTGGTCTTCCTCTCCTCCTTCGACCTTGAGGATTCCATATGAGGGCTTGTCTTGTGACGCAGTTGGGTGTTTTCCTCAATGTGTATCCAATCCACTTCCAGCGCTTCTTCCTGATTTCTTCCTCCACTGGGATCTATATTACAACTTGATTTTCTCATCTTGCTTAAGTATTCTTGTAGGACTAAGAAAAGCTGGATTCTTTCATCATCTCTATTTTTACTATTTAGTAAAGATTTGTCCTAATTAAGCTTTATATTCTAATTGATTTAGTTTTCTACTTTTGAATTCATTTCACTACATTCATCCATGTTCACATATAACAGTTACAGATATACAAATAGAAATAGACAGATATCAGACATTCATACAGATATGGATGTATGTGTATTTGTTTGTATTCTATTTGTTTTTGTTGTCAATCCTCTGATAATATTTTCATCTTAAGAAAAGTACATGCTAACAAAATCTCAGTTTTTTTATATCTCCTTTTAACGTGAAAGTAATATGTGTTATTTCTTTTTAATTATTACTGATAATATTAACATAATCTGTATTAGAAAAGAAAAATATACTCCTGGTAGTAATGTAATATTAAACATTTAATTAATTAATTATTTACAGGGTTCTGTTTATGTACGTGCAAATCCAAATGAAGATATTCCAAAAGGTTGTGTATCACGAAGTATTTGGCAATCACAACAGGAAAAGCAACAAGATTCATCAAAATTAAGATCTCCTATCAAGGTATCAGTAGGTTAAAGTTTATTATTATTATTATTATTATTATTGTAAATATTCACTTTTTATATTGTTTACTTATTTTACTTGTCCAGAACAGTATGTTTACCAATCAATTCTGAGTTATTTTTTTGGCTTTAAAAGTGTGGAAGATTATTTTAGTGTCAAACACTGAATCAAGGGATAATTGAGAATCATAGACCTGACTGATTGACTGTGTTACGTAGTTGATAATCTAAACTATTAAACCATCTCTCTACTTGTATTAGAGTTACGTCCAGAATTCTGTGTGGTGATTATATATTTACCAAATGATGTGTTGCGCATATATATTTGGTGCCCCTTGTGCCAATATTTATGTTTTCATATAATATAAAAAATATATAAAATGATATCTATTAGGTCCTATCATCCCAGACTTTGAAAGAATTATGTGTTCCATATTCACAATTAGAAGTGTTTTATTTACACAATTAAGTGAAATCTGCACCGTGTATAAGTCAGTGGATGCTTGTAAACCATGCTTTTCATTAAGTCAAATGCACTGGTTTCTGGATTGCCGGACCTAGTATCCTTTGTTGTGTTCATGAAATGTTTGAGGAAGCAATCTCATCGATTTTAGGACGCCGAATCGGAACATAACTTGATAACTATGCATAAGATCGTATAATAAAGACTAAGATATGGTTTTTATATTGGGGGTAATTTATTTCAGAGAGCTCATTAGGTGGTGTGGAGTTGAAAGACGTTGTCTTCTGGCTGTATTGATTATCAAAAACAGCTAGTATGACTTCAAACTAGGGTCAATGATTTATCAGGCAGTCTTCTTTTAAGTATTAAACCTGCATCACACACTGGCTTTCAGTTTCTCAACTGAGTCCCGATTTTTGTGTTAGCAATTAGGTTATCAACTTATTAAAAGCGAAAAGTAATGTAGTGAGGAACTCCAAAGGAAGGACCTACAATACCTTCAGGAGATACATGTGTTGAACTCATAAAATTATGATTATTAAACATTAGAGTATGATTCTTGTAAATAAATAAAGGTTATTCATTAAGTGTTTTGATGTGTCATAAGCTATTGATTGTATCATGGAACAATTACAACCGTGTCTGTACGAGAATTATCTTAAGTTGATCCCTTAAAATTTTAAAACTACTACTCAGTAAACGTTGTCTTCGTCATATTCAGATGAGGGATTTCAATCTTTTCTTGTATATTGGGAGGTATTTTATTGTCATTCATATTTATTGGAGACTAGTCATATGTATGAAACATTAACAATTATCCTACTTGACTTATAGTGGTTCCCCTATTGAAATGTTTTCATACGACCATGCGCCCACAGCCTCTTTTGGGAAAGCCTTACTCACTATTTTCATTCTTCAAAATTGTTATTCTACGAAAATAAGAAATTGAAAAGCGAATGTCCGGCGTTTAAACTGGTTTAAAAAACTCTGAGCCAGTAGTGTATATTTGATTTAGCACCTTGAAGGGATATATGACGTATGAACCTACTTTCGTCCATCTGTTATCATAGGACGGCTGTTCCGTTGCTTCATGGGTTAGAGTTTTAAGTCAAAGGGACTAGCTCACTAGAAAAACCACTTGCTTCGATTTGGATGCTTTGCAGTATTTCAGTTCACACACAAATTTTAATTTTTGTAGCATATCATATTTTTGTCGCTCAGTTGTATCAGAATAACTCATTAAATAACCTCAAGAAAGGAATGTTTCAGTTAGTATTACTCAACTGAGCCGTCACAATAGACCATTACGTTAAATTATTAATTGCTGTTGAATTTATGATGCTTCTTGTTTTGTTTAGTTTTATGCGAAATACCAAGGAAACTATCCCCTCTGATTTTATGATACCCAGATAAATGTGAAATTTTTCTTAGTGATCTCGTTTTTAGCAATATGATATTATGAACAAATAATTTTTCTAATATCTACTATATCATATCAGTCCTTGCAATGTATTTATATAATTGTCTTATTATGTAATACAATGAAATTGATGTGTAAATGAGATAAAATGACTTATTGAAACTTTGAATGAATTAATCAACGTGATCTATGTTCACCTTTCTTATATAAAGACTTTCTTCATTTAGTAGTCAACTCTATATATTCGTATTGAATTCTATCTATCAGTGTACGTGTGTGTGTGTGCGAATATACTTGCACTAATATGATAATATTGTATATACAGTTATAATAAATTAATTTAGTATTAATCTCTGTTTTAATCACATTTCTTATTATTGAAATGACGTTTCAACTAATTATTTGTCTATAACATAATTATTATTATTATTGTTATTATTATTATTATTATTATTATTATTATTATTATTATACGAATCATAATACCATAATATTAGTTACCAATCTATTTTCAATTTAATACAAATTAGTTACATATGCTTAGTTCGTGTTATGTTTTTTATGAAAGCTTAATTGAATATGAAAGGTCGTGTTATATCAAAATGATTTGAATACATTTCGATTATTTATAAAATAAACCAGTGATGAGAGTAGACGATATTCACTTTTTTATTTTTTCTAATTTATGAAATATTAAATTCATAAGCTGTTGTGTTTTATTTTTTTGGTTGATCATGTTAATGTATAATAAATTCAGTAGAAATTATGATGTTGTTTATTTAATGAATTATTGAACTTATCTGAAAATCTGTTACAATAATCCAAGGGTATCTAGTTGTTATTTTATTTTCTTGATAAATTGAGTATATTTCTACAGGAATCATTTGTACATTCACTTTTTGAACTGTCACTGTACAAGATTCTTAAATTTGAATGTATGTTTACCTTTCACAAAAAGGTTATTTGATGTAGTTGAACTTTAACGATTTTGTACTGTTATCAGTCATAGACTAGAATTGCTTTGTCTGTTGAACTGATAGTATAGAATTATTTAATGATTCTAGTAGTTGCCGTAAGACATATTCTATAGTGACGTATTACCTACTGTGTATCAGTTTTTTTGCTGATATCATTCACTTTATTTGTAAAAACAGAAAATTTTAAATCCTAATTTGATACGAGGCTATCGGCAAATTCGCTTGCATTTTTTTATTTGAAAATACCATATTCTAAAAAGAAATATAGTTCATCATTTGTGAATAAGTATTTTGATGAATCTCTGGTTTCTGGACCATATATATACAATAACAAGCTATCAATGTTTTAAATGTTATCAGTATTACAGAATTAATCATTTTTATTTACAAATTCTTAATTGGCTAGTATTTATGGAAATACAATTCATCTGGTTAGTTTCTGTCAGTTAGTGTTATGACTTTTTGCTTAGGTCTAAGCTGGTTCATAACGTTGATCATCTTATAGACATACAAATTTTCCCCATTTGTTGTTATTCATCACTCTGAAATTTTTGTTTTGATAAATTACATCAATGTAACAGTAGACTATTCGTCATCACTTTTTATGCACATTTCTGTTATGTTAGTTTCCTCTCCAAAAAAATATATTTCTTTTTTGTTTACTGGAAATTTTAGAAACCCGTTGGTTTTGTTCGACCTATTTGTGAACCAGAGATAAATAACATTAATGTACAGTCTGAAAATCAATCACAGAATATTGTGAAGCATATAGCACAAAACGAGGTGACTAATACTATTAAAAATCGTATAAAAGCTTTAGAATCCAAGCTGCCGTCAAATGAAACGGTTAGTGATGTTTAAATATTACACATGTGTGTGTAGTAGTAGTTGTTGTAATTCATAATTCGCTGTAATTTCTGTATAACATTTTAGTGAGTCGGATGTAGCACAATTATATATATATATATATATATATATATATATTCAATGTTTATATATCAAACTTGATGTTATTTAATAGAATATTTATGTAGGCGGCTTAAAGATAACTACGTATTTGTATTCTGTTAAAAGGCTTTCTTTCGACTAATCTATCGTAAGCTTTAACACTGATCACACTTGGTAACGATATACTAATTTGTTGTGTAAAATTTATTACTGCAATTGGAGCGCTTAGTGTAAAATTTTCTAGAATAGTGAACTGATCATTTACATTTTGATATTTAGCAGAAAAAAGAACGGATCGAGCGAAAAGACTTCCCACTTACTTTTTTATCATGGCTCTACACTAAACAATAAATGTATGGTTTACAATAATGAAATAACAGTTATCGAGTAGTTACGTTACATATTAATTATATAATAACACATTGATTATACAATAATATTGAGTAATTGGAAGAAAGAGGATTACAATAATCAAAGTAATTATTCGAAAAATCAAACAGTCTCTACGTTGCAAAACATATAAAAAGAAAAAACTAACTAAATATTTTAATGAAAGGTCAATATTACAGTTGTTATGTAAGAATCAGGGGACCAATGATGAGAATATGAAAAATACAAAAGTGATAGAAATGAAAAAAAAGTTTTAAATATTTTTGAAGGAATGGGTTTCATCAAATTGCAGTTACAAACTCACTCTTATATCGATGGCCAAGGTGATGAAAGTGGTTGTTCAAACTTCTTTTGGATGTAAATGTTTGGTTTATGAACATGGATTCTGATGGCTTCAGCAATATGCAAAAGACAAACCTGTAAACCATGTGCTAAGCTTGATGGAATATAGTGAATAACCTTAAATGCTTCATTCAACTGAACTTGATGACCTGTGTCCACCAAGTGGGCGAGAATAGAACTCCTAATCACTCTTACCTGCTCTTTCGCTCAACCAAGACGGATGGTGTTCTGATATGCGATGACGAACTAGCCGAATTGTACATCTCATATAACTGACTCCACAGAAATAGTCGAATTGGCGAATTCAGGTAGTTTGTCTTTATTAATGGTACTTATTATGGGACTGTTGTAGAAAAGAGCATTCAGTCTGGCTGTAGTAAATGTTTTCTGCACTGCCTTTGTTAACCTTTGAATCACAATTTTCTCGGTAGCATCTTTTAGAAACTGTAATTTTAAGAACAGTACTTTCTTATGGACGGTAAATATATGTTCTTCTTTTCCTCTATCTCGTCATCATGGTTATCGGTATAAGAGTGAGTTTGTAACTGAACTTTGATGAAACCCATTCCTTCAAAAATATTTAAAACTTTTTTTTTCATTTCTATCACTTTTGTATTTTTCATATTCTCATCATTGGTCCCCTGATTCTTACATAACAACTGTAATATTGACCTTTCATTAAAATATTTAGTTAGTTTTTTCTTTTTATATGTTTTGCAACGTAGAGACTGTTTGATTTTTCGAATAATTACTTTGATTATTGTAATCCTCTTTCTTCCAATTACTCAATATTATTGTATAATCAATGTGTTATTATATAATTAATATGTAACGTAACTACTCGATAACTGTTATTTCATTATTGTAAACCATACATTTATAGATGATCTTATTCGCCTCTCTATATTCCGTTGTTTAAAGTTTTTTGTCTGGTGTAATCGACTGGTATCTATCATAGTTGCCTTTTTATGAACTATTCTGGGATAATCGTTTATAAGTTGGTTAACCGTCTTTCCTGATTTATAGTTTCGGTGTCGTTATCTAGGTATAAATGCATGACTAAATAATTTTAAATTGTCGTTAATTATTTTTTTTAAATTGAGTGGTACACAATCGTAACTGTTAATTTTAAACCTAGTCATCGCATCATTTTTGCATCCTTGCGATATTGTACTACTGGTTCTATGCTTGGAACATCGATTACCTCAGACAACAAAGATTAATCTCATTTCTCCAGTCAGAAAAAAGTAAAATTCTGAGTAAATATGTACTTAGATTATTCGAAAAAGGAAAACAATCAGATATTTATTAAGCTCACATAGTTTTTGGAATGTCTTCAAAGTTAAAGGAAAAATCGGCATAATAAAACACCAATCAGTCAATTACAGAAAAACTTCTTTGACTGTGGTAAGAATAAAGGACACAATATTGGTAATTATGACGTAACTAATGCTCAACTCGAAATCGTACAAAAATAAGTAGCTAAACTTTAGCTGTCACAAATAGTTTTTCAAAAATTCATTTTCAGTCCTAGGTATAACAAAAATCGATTCATGAAGCTGGGTGACATGAGATCGAATCTTTCAGGGAGCATTATTTCCCTAAAGGTTACAAGTACACCTTGCTTACTAGTGCCACGTAGCACGAAACATAGTTGCAGGGTTTCCTATCGATTACCTTAAACCACCATCATATATCCCAACGTAGTGTACGTGATGTCAAGTCACCTAGACTAGTGGCCATATCTCAAATTGATCGATTTAATTTGATCTGTTCTAAAAATGAATAGACACACATAATATTGGCAGTATTTTCCGTTACTGAATAGCTATTGGAATTGAATTATTCTTCACAAATTGCCCAACCAAACAATAACTGTTTGGTCATGATTGCCTCAATTCAAGATGTTTTCACGAATTTAATAATTGGCTTTATAATCTGAAAAATATATCATGCTTTTTCAGATGCACCAAAAAACTAGGCGTACCGCAATTTATGTAATTGTAAAAATATCAGATTACTCAGCAAATCGATAACTATTTTTTTTTAACAATAAAATTTATTTTTGTATTTCAACTACAGGTTTTTTCGTCTTGACTATGATGATTATAGACGATGTAGTTTGTAAATATCTATCTTTCTACTTTTAAATGTTTGCTTCATAAAATATTCATAATAGTGTGTCTGTGTTTACGCCTATGATTCATTGCATATTACATTTCTTCCGTTACTAATTATAATCCACTCCTGAAAATTATGCACATAATGAATTTTTGATCAATAGGTTATTTTTGAAGTTTTTCGTTTATTTATATGATATTTAATGGTGATAATTTTATACAATTTGGTAGTTAGGTGTGTATGTTGTAGTGATTCGCATTTCGCTTGAAGGTGCTCTGTGTATTAGGAGAAGTTGCAGAGTAGAGCGATTGAGGAAAACTGGGAAGAAAAGGTGTTCAGACAACCTAGGAAGCGTACACAATGCGCTTACATTTATTAAGGGAAACAATAGATATCACAAGTCTCCGATTAAGGTAATCTGGAAATTGAACCTAGAAGCAGATAGTTCAACCCGTTACCATCTCATTTTTTCTATTAGTCATAGCACTTTCCATGTAGAGGGCATTTACGGTATTTTCTTGCGCCGTATGAAAACCAACAGATTGTCTAAAAAGGTTAGCTAATGAGACATCTCGACTATTGATAATGTGTCGGTATGCTACTGGGACTTCTGAACAGATCATAGAACCCATTTCAAAACGTTAATTGAATAGATATTTGAAAGTAAGTTTTTTTATGAACTGACAACTGAAAAGCCATAAATATATTGTGAATAGTTATCACGTACACAGTCAACTTAATTGCGACCGAGACAGCGACTCGTTGATAGCAATGTATATAAGTCATAGTATATCGCAAATTTATCTTGGTTAAATATCAAGACCGTTAAATTTCGACTCATTATCTTAACAGACCTATAGCTGGCAGAAAACTTGAAGGTTCTGAATTATATTTGATCTTGGTTTGTATATTCTGAACTGCGTGAAGTCATAAGCGATAATAAAATAGTTTAGTTGATCATGGTTTATAATTGTTCTGTTACTGTTGTCACAATCTCCAATAAACCACCTCTATTTTTAATAGATATTATTGAGCAGAACAGAAATTAGTCCGTCAATTTACATACTAATATTTCCACTAATGTAACTGCTCTATAAGTTTTTGTCTGATAATCAACCTAAACCTTTCACCATTGTATCTTATATTTTATACTGTTTATTGGGAATTCATCACTGCCAGTGGTTACAACATTTATTTCCTGAATGGCAAATGTTGTGATGAAGCTGATGAAGTCTGTTAGTTGATCCTATCAAACTAGTTTAGAATGCCGATTGGCTCTTCAGGAAATGGAAAATCCCAAGTAAAGATTTACAAGATTACAGCACTTGAGATATTTTGACAGTTTTCTTAGGTATAATCACTGTTACCGTTAAGGACTTCGAGGCAACTATACTTTATAAAGGAAACGGACATGTTCAAAGTCCACTTCTGCACAACTTCATCAGGGACTTTAGACATAAGTCGCGTGTAATAATTTTCAGTCAGTTAATTTCTGTATGGCCTTTGTGTATTCGACGGTGCTGATTAGGGGTCTACTTTAATATGTTGTGACCTATAATTTCCTTATTTCATGACCATTTATCTGATTGCGATTATAAGAGCATATATTTATTCGATGTTGAAAAATCTTGATGGTGTTTTGAGTGTAACTCAACTGCTCCTAGATCAGCTGTAGTTTGTTTACGAATAAGATGGATTGATAACTCAAGGATATTTTTGTTCCCAGCATTTGGTTTTACCGATGTTCTAGATGACACATGCTTAAGGATATGCATCACTGTTAAGACTGATATTTTTCATGATTAAAAATACGCCCATTAAATATATTATCTCCTAATTCTTTCGCTTGAAGCAATTGAGTCAATGTTACTATTGATAAGGGATAATATATGCTTCTGCTTATGTCTGCTTAATTTAAGCTTGTTTTTAAATGCCTGCATGTAGCTGAACCGCTTCCTATCTGTGGATAATTTCTGCAATAAAGTTAGGCTACTCAATCAATAAATAAGTAGTATGAAATCTCGTTACAGAAAACATAAAAAAGTGATAAGTCGGTAGTTCCAAGTAAGGTGGAACTATCGATGTTATTTCACCAAATGGATAACAACCTAAACACAACTAAGGAGTCTGTATGCAAAGCAAAATATTATGGGGGTGTAAAAGAGACGAAAAATTTTTCCTTTACAGTGGAAAAAGTAAAAAAGACAAGGGAATGAAATTTGTTGTACAGTATAATATTGTACATAGTTTCGTAGTGAAATTAGTCTAGTTTAAAGTGTTTTCTTTTTATCAAGAAGTGGTCAGCCAATTTTAGTATATTTTCAAAATACTTAATTTTTGAGTATTTCGGCAAACTGACTGTTTGTATATAATGTGATAATAAGCTTAGGAAAATAGTATGATGAAAAAGATGCTCATTAAATTCTCTTTCGTTTTTGATAGTTACAACCTTTAATTTTTTAAATACAAATTTTTACCATGTTTTGAAATGAATATTTCAACAATGGCTGATCCATATATTCGATTTTGTTTGCTTTATAGAGTTACTGCGAAAGGTTGATCAACTTTACCAGACTGGTAGTATGAAGAGTTTATGAGTATTGTTATGAGTGCCCCCAAATGCCCTGGTACGGCCGAGAGTGGAGAGAGTCCGCTGTCCCTCTCGAAATGCTCTTACATGGCCATGCGTATATAGCCTCTGCCAGGGAAGTCCTACTCACTGCCTTCTCGTGGCATTACTGTTGTTTACGAAAATGAGAGGACGAAAAGCGAATGTCTGGCGCTTTAACCGGACCCCAAACCAATGGTGCACATGGGCTCCAGTGTCCTGCGGGAACAAATGGTGTATGAACCAATCGTTGGTCACCGGCTACCATGGGACTGCATCTCCTCACGATGCTCCACTGCCTTGTGGGTCAGACGTTCAGGTCAAAGGCTCGGGGTGTGGCCCCCTAAGAAAACCACGTGCTTCGGTTTGGGCACCCGGGCAGTATCCCAGCCCTCACACAAATCAATTGAGATTCGTGTGGTGCATATGTACTTGGTGCCTCCCTGTACCTATACTTATGTGTTAAAATATAATATATATAATATTGTTATGATTTAGCCTTTAATATTTTATGATGAAAAAAACATTTGAGAATTATTATTGTTATGTTTATAGATGGAGTGTGTCAACCGGTTTGTAAGCTTTAATGTGACCGATTTGTAACCGTTCACGAGATCAAAATATTGACATTAACCTCCAATCAAACTCATATCAAAAGACAAATCAGCCATTTAGTAAGATGATGTTTTTCCATAACAAAATAATACTTTATCTACAAAATACTGAACGCTAAAATAAGCATGTTTAGATTTGTTTATCAAACAAACGCGTATAAAATGTAGGAACTATTGATCATTCACATTTCATTAGAATTATTTTCTACATGTCAGGTTTAATTCTTGTTCTGTTATTACATCTGTTCTAGAGTTACTGAAGTAACCAGAAAAATGTATCAATCCAGCAATTCAGTAAATAAAATATTTAGTTGTATTCAAAAAAAATCTTATAAAATTTTTCAAACATGATTAAACCATTTATATATTTTTACAACATATGACTTTAATTAAATTTTATCATTATTATTATTATTATTATACTTTAGACTTCAAATTATCGAAAAGTTGATCCACGTGCAGAAATTATGCTTGCAAGACAACTGTCATCATCTGTAAATAATAATGGAGATGAGAATGAAGATGATGATACAAATCATGTGGTAATAAAAGTCTTGTTTTTTTAATTTATTTATCTATTTCCTTTTTTGTTATTCCATCTTTTTGTCATTTACTTTTTGTGTGTTTTTGGTCTGTTTTTCTGTTCAATTATGTTTTATCAAATATTTTGAGATTGTTGATTTTATTTGTTTTGTAACAAATTGATTTAGTTATTATAAATATTATTTTTCTAATCGAAAATATTGAAAGATATTTGATACGAAAATCAATAAGTTAGCATATTTTGTTACTGGGAAATTCATAGTCATTTTTACAAATCGTCATCATACGCATATGTTCTTCGAAAATGGAAAACATTCATTGACTGCATGTTTTTGACCATTTTTCGTAGAATGAATGAGTAAGTGATTTTGAGTTTAAGCACAAAGTCCTAAGCAAATATGACCAACCAGTTGATAAGATTATAAAATATAAATCGATTGAAGTAGTTGAGACATTTATCACGTATGTTCAACCATCGTCTACCCTCGACGTGTGATGTTGGTTATTGTATTAGGAGCTGATTGAAAGAAATATAAAGTCAGTCAGACCAAAAACTTTCATTAACCAATGAAGTCATTGACGGTTGGTTCGAGCCATTTTGGTAGATTCAGATTACTTGGTCTCAATTGACTAGATAACTACGATCAGTGATCGGATGACAGAGTATATAATCGTTCTTAGTGATGCTGATGCATTCACTCCTTAGCTTTCCCTCGGTTTCGAATTCCAGTATTCTTTCATACATACCTTTCCACTTTGTCTTTTCGAACAATATTCTAAGCATTCAGTTTTTGCATTGTCACCGCCATTGAATTATTCCATTTTTTTTATACTCATCCTCTTTTGTGCTAATATAGTATGGCAACTAGGATCAATCTACGTCTACATGAGGTTTAACATTGATGATAACTAACTGGTGTGTGAAAATTATATTGTTTCGGTCGATCTATATTTGAAGAATCATGTATACCTTATTGTGCATGAGATGTATTCATCTCCTAGTTTAATGTATGTAATAGAATATATATTTAATAATTCAACACGGTGGAGAGGTGGCCTTATATTTAATGCACTTGGCTTTCTCTTAATCGACCAGAGATCCGAACTCCGCTTTATTCACTTTAGTTTTGACAATCCGGGTTTTATCATTAGCTTTCACAAAAATATATTGATGAGTTATGAAATATTACCTATACTTTCTTATTGCTCGTCTCAATATCTTTTGCAATTACATTTCAACTATACACTACTATTGATGTGATTTTCTGATTGCTCTTAGTTAATTGTTTTGATTTGTTATTGTGAATTCTCATAAATTTACTCCCTGCCGTAGTCAGTGTTTTTTTTTTAATACGATAACATTATATGGTAAAATGTAATTGTGTTTTGCTTCCCTACTTTATTAAAATTGAGATGTTCCCATATCAATATGGTTCATTTCTTTCCATCACGTATGTGATTTTTTTTAAATAAAAAATTTAAGTACAGGTCCTTATTATTTAACCCACCCACTCTATCGTTTGTTTAGCAGGGGATTGTATCTTTCATGTTCTTTTTCTTTTCCAATTATTGACATGAAAATATAATTTCATGATCATCTGTTTAAATATAATGGAATGAATTGGTGAAGATTCTGTAAAATTATCACATCCAAATTGTATTTCACGTTAAATTCATACATAAATTAAACCATTAATTAATGTAATTGAAAAAAACTTATTGAGATACTATAAATCTTAGTTTGTGTTTTCATGACTAGCTAAATGAGATTCCTGCTTAAAATAATTAATTGTCATTGGTTCTAGAAGATACTTATCTCTATCCTAGTACATGAAAATTACTTTAAGAGATCAGGTAATTCCGGATTGAAGTTTTAAGATCTTCCAAATTCTGAATATTCATCAGTATTTAGAAACGTTAGAATAAATGCAGGGCTATTGGCTATTATGTAATTGTTATACCTCTGAAAATGTCTAATCGCTGTACGCGCTGACCATCTTAAGCAAAACCGCTAGCATGTTTGGTATGCGATTCTGTCTCCAAACTCAAAATAAGCTGTATGGTAAAAGAACTACTCCCAAAGATGTCCTACTGTGGTTAAGTTACGATTAATCTCTACCTGACAAATGCACGGTTTCGATATACTTGACTCGTTAAAGTAGATTAAGTTCGAACACAACAACCGTCAAAGTTAATACTAGCTAGGAAAAAACTCATCAGGTAATTTATTTCCGCTCACTTGATACACTCTGTTCAAATAGCACAGAAGTCACTGATCCCATTTTTTATTTAACCTTGTTATACACATGCGCTTAGAGATGACGCTTTCATCACCTGAATTTTCAGGGGTCGATATTCTACTAGGAGATGTTCTTGTTGACTTAGAATACCTAGATGATCTAGTTTTGTTTGTTGAAGATGCTGACGAAGTGCAGAGACTTCTGACCACCTAAAGTAGCAATGCAAGTACGATTGGGATGCGATTCTCTCCCTTCAAATCCGAAATGTTGATTTGAGATTGGCTTGTGTCAACCACTGAAATATTGATAGGCAAAGAAGTAGTTGAATGCCTCGACAAATCCACTAACCTAGTCTTATCAGTCGTGATGGTCTGTGCCGACGAAATCTCAGAACCGATTCAACAGGCCCGATCATCTAATGCCAAAATGCGTCACTTGATGTAGGGTGAATGTCCGTTCTCCAACCAAAGGACGAGTTTACTGCTCAGCAGTTCACTCCATCCAACTCTATGAGTGTGAAACATGGCTATTTAGAATAAAAAACGTTTGTAGGTTACTGGTATTCGATCACAGGTGTTTTCGAAGCATTGCTCGTGTATTTCCGGGCCAGCGAGTGAGGAATTCCATGGTCAGGAATAGGAAACAATGCAAATATGACAAATCGATTGATGAGGTAGTAAATGTTGATCAACGGAGTTGATTGGGATATGTGTTACGTAGGTCCAACAACCGCCTACCTCTACGGTTGATGTCCTCTAGTGTAAGAGTAGATCAGAAGGATTGTAGGTGTGGCCAAACCGAAACATAGCATCAGTCCATGAAGTTATTGAGAATCATACTGAACCATGTTATCATGTGTAGACTATCTGGTTGGGGTCTGTGCGATTATCGTAATCAGTGGTTAGAGACTTTTGATTACATGGCTAAAAACGGTTTTCACTGGTGCAGGTGCATCCATGGTTTGTTTTCCCTCAAATCCTAATATTCTTGGTTTCTCACAACTTTCTTTGTTTTTATTGCACAAATTTAAATATTCTTTTCGAGTTGTGCCTTCAATGCCCAATCTTTTCTATTACGGTCGATATCTTTACTACCTGTACTATTCTTGGACATGGTCTGAAAATATAATTTCTCTGTGCCAATGAGGTATGGAGATTAAACCGATGCAGTTATGTATCAAGTTCTACTTTTCTGCTAACTGAACGGTCGTTTGTAATATCTAGGATGGCTAACTGTGTAGTCTGGACAAACTGTCCCACGTGATATAAACTTTCTTTTATAATGACTTGTGATTGTGGGATAATTATGATCTCGCATAAAGCGAAACTTCTCCGCCACCTAACCTTTTATCACCTAAATGTCAATCAGCTGTTTGCGTTGCCTTTTATGATTTCGTTGTCGTTTTATTCCACGTTCGATTTCTTTGTACGTAGTTCTGAATTCGTTTATAGTTCAACAACTGATGGTTCGAATTTTTTAAATACCGATCGATAATTGGGTAAATTTTTGTCCGTTTAGAGCTACCAACCTGTTAGTATTTATGTATGCCGATTTCCGCTTGTAAATCTGAATCTATTGTGTTTTCTCTCTACTGCTTCTGATATATTCGCTGAAAAGCTTTTTACAATTTTGACTTACTTCCTGTGCTTTTGATAAATATTCTCACGTTTCTTTTTCTCTCCTAATTTTTGTTGATGGATAATTATATTACTGTATGTGTGTGTATGTTTGAAAGAGAGATAGAAAATGTCGTTACCTGAGCGTAAAGGTTTAGAGTTGTCCATATTCATTTTACTTATTATCTATCTTAAATATTATATTGAATATTCTGTTGACGTGCATCACTGTTATCCTTTTGTTGATGATTATTATTGGAAATACGTGTTTGATTGTCTTCGAATACTAGAGCATTCAAAATTTCACATAGTGGTTCTTTTTTTATTCTCTCGGATAATATTTTCTGCGTTTGCATTATTTTCTATTACTCGCATTATAATATACAATCATCCGGTTCAAGTTGATCACATGTGAATCCTGTCAACTTGTTGATTAATTAGCTTCCAATATTTTATATTCTCTATCGTGTAATGTTCTCGTCTATTTATTTATTCTGCGAAGAGAGACAATGTGTTTTCAATTCAGAGGGCTGTACATATTTGAATATAAATTGTTTACTGTTTTCTCCTTCTTTGATATAATGTAATGGTGTATTCCAATTAGGCCTGCCTATTCATTGATATAGTTTGAGGAATGAGTATTTTAAAGTCAACATAAGCAAGGCTTTCGAAATTATACCATTCTATGGTGGTTGGTGTGTAATTTTTGATATTTTAATGTTTATTAGAGCTTCACTTTATCTGCTAGATATACAAATATATATCATGTTTGGTTTGTTTAATTTTCAGTTTCTGTATGTATTTAAGGATCATGGACTGTGGATAGTCAATCAGTCATTCATGCACAATGTAAAATTGGGCACATGTTTATTTTGGTTCAAGTCGCCATACCCTATTAGCGTGACGAAATGAAATTTTCAGTTCGTCGAGAGTGTTAATAAGTATTCAGTGAAGTACAACGAATATTCAGAAAGCAATGTTAAACAACTTCAACTTTTTAATCAAAAGCCCCCAAATGCCCTGTTACGGCCGAGAGTGCTGAGAGTTCGCTCTCCCTCTCGAAATTCTTTCACGTGGCCGCGCGTATATAGCCTCTGCTAGGGAAGTCCTACTCACTGCCTTCTCGTGGCATTACTGTTGTTTACGAAAATGAGAGGACGAAAAGCGAATGTCTGGCGCTATAACCGGGTCCCAAACCAATGGTGCACATGGGCTCCAGTATCCTGAGAGAACAAATGGCGTATGAACCAATCGTTGGTCACCGGCTACCATGGGACTGCATCTCCTCACGATGCTCCACTGCCTTGTGGATCAGACGTTCAGGTCAAAGGCTCGGGGTGTGGCCCCCTAAGAAAACCACGTGTTTCGGTTTGGGCACCCGGGCAGTATGACAGCCCTCACACAAATCAATTGAGACTCGTGTGGTGCATATGTACTTGGTGCCTCCCTGTACCTATACCTATGTGTTAAAATAAATAAATAAATAATATTTAAATCAAAAGTTACGATGAATTCCATGCAATAGATATGCTTGCAAAGTAATTTCATATGACTTCATGGTAGTGAATTGTCACTATTTTCCTAAATCATCTTGGGACGTTTTTCAGTTGACGGAGTATAGTATTAGCATTTCTTATTTACTACAAACTTATATTTCTGTTTTTATTCTTTTTGGTATGTCATCAGTAGTGTAATCTAAGTTGTGTATTTCGTCTTATTTGTAACTCATTCGGTGAATGTACCTACATCTCAGTGTTGATCCTAACACTAAGGCACTGACCTCAGTTCTTTTGAATGATCCTAAAATAGAATGTTTAGATTGGTTGTAACAGTAGTATGAATGATAAATGAAAAACAAGGGATTTAGTGGAGAAAATTTTCTTTTCTACAAAATCATTTATTGAAACTATACACTCGCATTTATAGTTGTTTAGTAAATACATGAGTCTATAGAAGAATGTAAAAAAGTTCTATCATAAAGTGATCCAATGTTTTAAATATAAAAAAGATTACGTAATGGTAAAGCGTTTAGAGATGAATCGGAAAATGAAAATAGTTTACAGGTGAGAAATATATAAGATAACGGTCCATTTTATCCGTCTAGCCTTTTATCCTTCCAACGCTGTGACTCCCTTCTTTAATATGTTTTGTCCTGTTTTTGTTTCGATCAATACCTTGTACTTTTTAAACCGTAATCACTTATTATTCGTTAACAATTTTTTGTGATTTATCTTCTATCATTATTATTATTATTATGACCTTCACTTTTTTCATTTCTTTATATCTGCCACACAGACAATCATCTGTATATTTCTGACCCGTAGATTATTTTCATCTTATTTTCTAAACTCTCCATCACTACTTAACCTTTTGTTTGATATTGGAAACCTTATGTTCATTTATGATTTAATCTTTTCTTTCTATAGTTGTATATTTACCACAGTTATAAATACCAATGATTTCGTTGAAAAGGGTTTTTTTCCCCTGAATTTTCTTTATTCACGTTCAATGACTCGATAATAAGCCACTTGAAATCTATGGAAAGACAAAACTAAAAATGCGATTTAGGCTTGTTAAATAACAAGTATTATGCACACTTTTTGATCCGATTGAATTACTTTAAAATCGATCAGACTGCGGTTAATTCAATTCTAAGTGTGACCCTTTAAGCACTTATTTGATAAGGTTTAAAGCAACAGGGAACGCCAACAAATGCCTCATAAAGTCTTTGAGTTTAAAAACAGTTTAGTACTTACGCTAACATGGTAATTCAATCTATTTCTGATGAATGCTATTCGTTTAAATTAACCCTTCTTTGCCGCAAATACAATGTTATTTTTACAACAAGAATTGATGTATATATAACAGTTTATCTTTATCTTATGGGATTTAGGGCACATGTTATAAGAAGCAAGACCCAAGAGCTGAAATTTTGGAAGCTCGTGCATGTAAACAACCTCAAGAGTCCATATTCAATAACAGTGAACCTGTTGTAAGTTTTACTTTTTCACTGAACTTTGTTAGTTATTCTCTGATATTTTATTTTACGTAACTGCTAAGACAATTAATTCATTCATGAAAAGTTACTTCTAATATTACCAACATTACCAGTTGTATTTTAATAAGTCATGTGGTTGTTTTATTATCTCACGACGGGTAATTTGAAATCTACATTAGATTCAAATAGATTTTTAGACGGTTATGATTGATTTTGACTGCTTAACTGTGAAAATTGTAGCACTGTTATGTAGTATGAATTAAATTACAATTAGTTGAGTTAAACGTGTTAGAAACACTGTACATTCTCATTGCGAAAGAACTTATTTGAGTCCAAAGTCCAGTAATTACCTCCATGAAGCAGCAATCGTGTTCGGTTTTCAACCGAGTTCGTTCTCGAACAGATTTCTTCTGTATTCTACAACTGAAAAAATACTACACCGTTCAATCTTCTCCTATTCGTGATAATCCAATCTGTAAAATATGCACTAGCGCAACTTATAATTCTCCGACTGACACTCGGAGACTCATCTCAGCAGGCTCCTGTATTTACGAAAAACGAAAACTCTCTGAGTAAAAATCAAACACCAATCACCGGTAGTGAGTTGTGAAATCAAAAGCGAAGACACTTACGTCTGTGGCTTACTTCAACGAATGTAAGAGATACGAAAAGGAGTTTGGTTAATATTAACCTCAAACGTCATCCGCAACACTGCAAAACAATTTAACTCGATTACAATCACGCTTCAATTGCCAACAATCCGATCCTAACATGCATAGGACTCTACTTTTGGCCCTCCTAAGGTCTGAAACAAAAGTCATCTGGGAATGATTCCAGGAGTATCTAGGGAAAACGACTAGGAATACCCAGTTAGATTAATTAAAATTTTAACTAGGCCACGGGACGCGAAATTTTTGCATTTGTCTTGATTCCTAATCATTTGAGTTTATGAAAATGAATGTAAATCAACCTACGTTAATTGCAAACCTTCAGTATAAGCCACGAAGTGTTTGAAATGTAAGGTTTGAAGGTTAGGCATGGATGCGTTCAACATATTTCAACACTGTCTGGTTTACTAGTCTCCTTACCACTATCCTAATCATTTCCTGGGAGTTAAAGGTAGTAAACAAAGCTATACTTTGAAATTTTCAGTGGTATTATCCGATTTTTTTAAAAAGATTAAAGACGTATCTTGTATTACAGTAGATACTATTCTACAGTAATATATTTTTGTATGTTAGTTGCCTAGCCTATTTTGACTAACACATCAGCTGCTCGGTGATAAAATCTAGGGTTTTGTTCAACGTTTTTGTGAAAATTTCTGCCTACATGTGCATGTCTTCCCTACTAGCCTACTTTCGTATTAATTACCGATTCTATTGGTCTATGCAGATAGAAACTACTTTTTGGTTATATTATTCTTGTTTAACTATATTTTATAGGGTGCCAATTATAAACGACCAGATGTTCAGTCGGAAATTCGTTCTATTAAGGCCGCGAACAATTCAAATACTTTATCATCAAATAAAAAGGTAATGTTTCTTATTGAGTAATGTGTGTTTGAAATAGTTTCTGACCGCTTTATTGATGTATATTGTTTATCTGTTAAGACTAAACAGTTGTCAGTATTTGTCAGTATTTTGATCTTTATAAAATCATGAACTTCAAAGTGCATCTAAATCCTTGCGTCCGACAAACACCTATTGGTCGTCGAGTTCAGTCAGGAGACTAAGATAACAAGGAGAACGATCCTTTGTCGTACCTTATTTAATCATGTTTTATATTATTTATTTTATTTGAACACATAAATATTGGTACAGGGGGGCACCATATATATATGCGCCACACTCATCATAGTTCTAGTGTGTGGGCTGAGATACTGCCCGGGTGCCCAAACCGAAGCAGGTGGTTTTCTTAGGGGGCCACACCCCGAGCATTTGATCTAAAGGTCTAGTCCACAAGGCAGTGGAGCATCGTGAGGAGATGCAGTCCCATGGAAGCCGGTGACCAAAAGTTGGTTCATACCCCATTTGTTCCTTCAGGATACTGGAGCCCATGTGCACCATAGAATTGGGATCCGGTTATAGCGCCGGACGTTCGCTTTTCGTCCTCTCATTTTCGTAAAGAACACCCGCGCCACGAGAAGGCAGTGAGTAGGACTTCTCTGGCAGAGGCTGTATACGCTAGGTCGTGTGAGAGTATTTCGAGAGGGAGGGCGAACCCTCCCCGCTCTAGGCCATACCAGGGCATTTGGGGGCTATTTAATCATGACTCAGAACTCACACAATAGTATACCTCAGATATCCGACTGAACAGCAACAAATAAAAAATAACAATATATAAACAACTCAATCGTATGTGATATTAAAAGCAAATATCAGGGGAATAATTTACTAGTGGTAATGCTGGTATGATAAGACTTGAATCAACGATATGCAGATTTTTATTATTATTATTATTAATGGCTTTATTCAATGTTTACTTTTTGAAACAATATAGGATTCTGAGCACAAAGTATTTCAATAAGTTTCTTTTTTTATTTCTTGACGGAACCTGACTATAAATATTGAGTGATCGCCAGTTAGATGTTAGTAGTTCTGTGATCAACATTTCAATATTAATGTTTATTGTTTTCAATGCATATTGCCAGCCACCACGATGTCTCTGTATTTTTTTGTTACTTGTTTTATGAAGGGTCGTGAAATTTTCATAAGCGCGCCTGAATAGGTTATGCTATGAATGGATATAATGATGTGCTAAAACAAACAAAAACAGATAACTTGTTGAAATATCTAGATGGCAAGAACAGGTAACCCAGATATTCAAATAGGCCGTCAGACTGGTTAACCGAAAAGTAAAGATTAGGAGAATATAAAAATAAACTAATCCCAGCATCTAATAATTATACAACAATATATAAGTAATAATTAGCCGTACGATAGTTCTTAAAGTTAAATGTTCAACGAATCTCCTTCGATATGACAAAAATACTTTGAATTCGTACATTTATATCTAATAATTATTTTACTCTAAAAATCTATCTGAAATGATACTTATAGCAAAATAATCAATCCAGTTTTGTTTTTATACCTTTTCGATGGTTTATTATCCGGATGCATATGAATTCACTGAGCTGATTTCAGGGTATAGTTTCCAAATATAACACTATCTTAAGTATTTTATAGTATTACTTTGCTGCATTATTTTATGCACATCTTATTTCTCATGGAAACATATGTGGGATAACTTTCAAAAATCACAGATAAAATTTCATTCGGGTAAGCTGGCCATTGGTAACTCAGCTTCAGCATCACTTTTACATTAAAATAATGAATCGATCAGTGTTAGACCACTATTGAAAACCTGGAAGCATTGGTAGACCGTTTTTTCACCAGTGCTCATTCACGATTACGCACGCGAGAATCTAACCTAGGACTTTCGGTCTCTCACGCGAACGCATAACCTCTAAACCACTGACCTGGCATCCAACAGCGTTAATCTCTGATTTCAATCAATCAACGATATTGTGCGATTATCTTCCAATGTTTCTGGGTTGCAATAGTGGTCTAATATTGACCAATTCATAATTTCAATGAAAATCTGCACAATCCCATACTAACGATCATTTTTATAGTTTTGCTTGAATAATGTTTCCAAAGTATTCAAATAATACAGATCTTATCATTAAAACCAAAGAGCAAGAAACGTTTAAATTGTGAAAAAATAATCAGTTCTTAATAGTTATGCTTTTAATTTAGACAATGAAGTTTAATCAAAAGCTTGATTCACTTCATAATACTATATATTAAAATATTCCTTTAAGAAATATTATTCAGGTATGAATTCTCTCATGATATATTAATAATTAGTTGAATGTAATTTAAGATTTTCACCACATACAATATTTATAAAGAATACTGATACATTTGATTCTTAAAAATCCCCATCTTGACATTTTGTAAATAAAGAAGGAACGAATCGAACGAAAAAATTTCTTTTCGATTCGTTTTTCATCATAGATCTACATTAATGTATACATGATTTACAATAATGAAATAATATTCACCGAGTAGATATGTTACGTAATGATTATATAATGACATGTTGACTGCAAATTAACATTGAGTAACCCTCTTTCTTCCAATTACTCGATGTTAATGTATAATCGATATGTCCTTATGTAATCATTGCGTAACGTGTCTACTCGATGAGTATTATTTCATTATTGTGTAGAGTCGTGATGAAAAACTAATTGAAAAGAAATTTCTTCGTTCGATTCGTACCTTCTACATTTGATTCTGTAGAGATTTTTCGCATCATTCTTGATTGATATTGGAAAATAATTAGTTTCTTCTTGGATATTTTTCTCTTAACAAGAATATATTGCACAACTTCACTTACAATCAATTTCCTAAAATCTTTCTTGCAAAAATAAAGAAATAAAATTGTTAGATATAATGATCATCATCCGTGTGAAATGTCCTACTGCGACTGTTTTCCATTACATAGTGATTAGTGTGATTTCGTTATTAAATCCGAAATACACTACTTTTATTTCCAGCGTTTTCTATACCACTCTCTGACATACTCTGAATTCAAAAATAAGGCGTTCCAAGTAAATAGCACATAATTAGTTTATTTAGAAATGACAAACTTTATCCATCATATTAACGATGGGAGTTCCATACATATTAGTGACCATAGTAAAATATAAACTCAGAAGCCTCATTTTAATGTATTAAAAAACTGGTTATCCGGAGGTACTGGGGACTGATAGTTACATATTATATAATCGGTTGATAATTTCATAGATTGTAACCTTGTATATTGTATAAAGTACAGGACTACATATTACTGTTAATTCTGGACTTATTTAGAAGGTAAATTTGTCTAGCAAATTGAAGTTATAGTTTAAAAGAGTTTATTGCTTTACATGTATACATTTTTATCGTTTATTGTCAAATAGAAACTAAATGTTTACTTTGACGTTTTTCTTCTAGTCCGATGTTATTAATGATTCAAGTAATCGAGATCTGTTATATCAAAATGGTCATTATCATCAACAATCCCAACAACAAACAACGTCACCTCCTCTTTCTTTATCACCAATAGCACATATTTCAAATAATCAAATTAATTCTAACATTGAGCAACAGTTAAAAAACGGTAACAATGATAACAATAATACTTATCATCAAAACTCAGTTTCACAACAAAATTCAATGTATAAATTAGTTTCACCATGTATTAATTCATCGCCTAACACGGAAGTACACAATAAGACAAAAAATAATTCAAATCTTAAAGCTGTCTGTCTATATGATTATAACGCTAGTGAGTTTATAATAGTGTATTTAGTCGCTACGATTTATAACACTTCTTTTCAGGTATTTTTTCTTATTATTGTTTATGAAAGAAAATGATACAGAATATTTATACTCTTATGATTTGAAATAGTGATGATTAAATTAAAAGATACAAATAACTCATTTGTATATATCGTATAGTTTTGTGTTGTAAGTTATTAAGTTTTCAGCTGTATGTACATCAGTGATTTATTAACTCTTTGTATAGTAATTTGGAGATGCAATTATGGTCTTCATCGTCAGCCCAACATCCTAGATAATGTTGGATAGGAATTGATTTTTTTGAATAAATTCACATATTTTAAAGGAAAATTAGTATTGTTAAACATTTTAAAGTGTTTTTATTATATGCAAACGAAGAATAAATGAATGTTAACTGTGTGGACTATTTTTGCATATTTTCTTATTGGATAATTCATATTCCTTTTATAATAAGCTTTCATGTGATACATTGGCTGCTGTTATACTGTTTGCCATTTTTAATTTATTCCTAATCTCCTATACTCACAGACACTTTTGGCTTGATGCTAATGCCGGTTAACGTGTCATTGATTTAACACAAGGACATAGAAGTCGGTATTCCGGTTGGCGATTTTATCACGTGATATTTGATGGGTCATAGGACATAACATTAGTCTTTTTCAGATATAATGAAATCGTAATCCATATATTGATTAAATTTTACGATGAAACCCATCTATTTAAATTAGAACGATTAAATTGACTACTGAGATGTTTTTTTTGAAAACCTTAAATGAAATAGACACTAGTTATGAATTATGAATAAATTTACAATTTTATTTAACTCCGATATTTATCTTTACATTCTCCTTTTTATTCATTTATCATCTGTTGTGTGTAGATGAAGATGATGAATTATCATTTCGTGCCGAAGAACATATATTTGACATTGAACAAATTGATGAAGGTTGGTGGCTTGGTCGAAATGCTGATGGACAATTTGGGTTGTTTCCAGCTAACTATGTTAAATTAATGATGTAAAAAGCTGATAAAAAGCAGAACATATGAATGTAGTTTCCTGAGAAATTCGTTAAAACAAATAGTAGATATGGTTGCACTTTTGTTTTCGTTTTGAATGTATTCATGCGAGGCAAAATGCATACAGTTGTATTCTTCTCATATCAATTCAGAGTATACAACACAGTTTGTTTATTTTATGGAGTTATCATTTATACTACGATCAGTAATGTTACTTTGACTGTTATCATATGACTGATTTGTGATGGTTTCTCAATTCTTTTAACGAACATCAATGAAAGATTGTTACAACGAATACTAAAGTAAAATGGATCATAGACATACGTTTTTTTTAAAATTTCCTTATTGAATTTATTCCATTACTAACTTTATGTGATTTTTCATTGTTTATTCCTTATCTTCTATGAACTATTTGACTTGGTGATCACCATTTAGTTTATGCACAACTTCATTTCTAGGTATATTTCACTTGTGAAGATTTTTATATGTTTATATTCATATATAGTCACAATTATTTTGGCGTTTTTTTTGTTTCATACTTTAATCATTCATACTCACTATAAGTAAATCATGAATGGTTAAGAAACAAAACCACTAGTGTTTTTATTAAGTAACATTGAAGTTTAAAAAAAACGAAGTCACTTATGGTAATTTCATTTGTTGCATTGTTTTCTTTTTCAGCTTTTATTTAATTGTTATTCACTATTCACTTGTTTATACGACTATACTGTGAAAAAAAGGCTAAAATGTTCCCTTCTTAGTTGCTATACGTTTTTTTCTTGTTATCTAAATATATTTCTTTGTTGATATAATGATCTCATTTATTGAACAATTTTTAAATCATAAATATCACCTACTCAGTAAAAGATTGGAATCTTACTAATTGTTGTTTCAGTAACCTGTATCTCTCTGCTTATATATATATATATATAGCTTTTTTAATAATACTGTAATGCTTGGTTTTTGTTTGCTTTTTCTCAACATTTCTACCAATATCATTGTAAATGATATGATCCTGGTGTTTTTTTCTTTTTTTGTTGTTATTGTTGTCATCACGTTCTCTTAATTAATTGTAATGTGAATTGTTTTAATTCTATACTTAATTTTATGTGACTAAATTATAAATAACATTGTATTAGTTTAATTCTGAAACAATTCTTCAAATTTTGGTTAAATGGACTATTCACCATTTAAAAATTTATGTAGGATTGACAAAAAGAAATATTTGGTTTTTGTCGTGAACAATAGGCTTTAAATTTTTTATGTCTTGTGGATTGAGCGCTACTTGTTGTATCTGACCGTCGCTAATTGTTGTGTCAGAAACGCTTATCACTTATACTGGAAACCAGGGACCTCTGCAATTCCCACGACGCGAAAGTAAGAACATAAAGACTGGTAAATATTCATAACATCAATTATGTTTTAAGCAAAGATGAATAGTGGCTAGCAGTGGAATCCAGGATGCGCATTTCGTTCTATTTGGGACTTGTCAGCTGGATGTACCGGCATCTCAGAATTGATGTTCATTCTGTGAATTGAACCCAGTACCATTCGCTTCAAACGCCATCGAGTTATCCACTTAGCTACTTAGTCCTGATGGCCACTTGCTTGTGCAATGGAGTGAAGTTTTTAAATTCACTTTACTTAAATTTATTGATGTTTAGGACTGCAATTGATCGGTCTTTTATTGCTTTACTTAACTTGGTATTTTGGTACGTTGTTACCAATTCCCCCCCCTCCCATAAATATTTGTCAACGTAGAATTCGTTTAATTGTTGTTCATAGTTTAATACACACATATCCGTCAATATTAATTGTAATCATCCAATAAATTTACAAAGCGAATATTTCGACTGAATAGATTCTTATGATTAAATTTATTATTTCTACAGTACATATATATTTGGAGTAAATATTGTGGAAAATAAATTTGTTTCAAAATATTCATATTGTCTACTTAATTAGTTAATTGAATAAATGAATAACCATAATTAAATGAGAGGCATGGAACAAGACAATTGGAAGTATACGAACAGAAAATACGAAGTGAATTTATTCAATAAGCTGATCCAAGCTTACAATAATGAAAACAATTTAAATGCGAGAAAAACCTGAGAAATGATAACTTTCTAATTCGTTTTAATTGTTCCAGTAAAACAGATGGCATCGTTAATTTCATCAGTTAAAGATATAAAATACTAAGTTATCTTATCTATATATGTAGTTGTAATCCGTCAGACAGAGACTGTATACACTATGCTAGTTCTCAACTTATGAAAGCATATATAACGATTTCAGAGAGATGTGTTGCACAAAATTTCGACTAGACGTGTGCACATGAGAGATTGCAACCGAATTCATCGAATATCCCCACAGCTAAGGCTTTAGATCTAGAATTTAAGTTTTGGATTCTGAAAACCACTTGAAGTGTGGATGGATGAATAACATCACCCACAATATTGAAATTACCTGTTATGAGTTTGAAATGTTATTTGAGCTCTCTGATGTGAGTCGCAAAAAAGTGAACATAGTGTAGATTTTCATTGAGTGGATATTTTATTGACTATGATTATTTTTCTACAAGATGCCTGTGTACGTTGTATATTAAAACATGATTCAATATGGAATCAAGCAACACTGAAGAAAGCGCAACGTGGAAAATTTCATATTAAGTGAGTTAGGTTGACAGTTTATTGATCCTAACGTTTCACTCATTGAAACTACTGCCAAATGAGCATCGCTTAAAATTTAGTTTCAGTGAACCTGATGTTTCAAAAATGCTGTAAACATTCGTCGAAGTTGAAATGATTCGTGAAGAAATCCAATGTGTTTCACAACAAGCAGCTACCTTGATTTTAAAAGGTATCTAGTATCAAATGCTATCTGTTATTCCTTACCTTTGCTTAAATTTATTTTACTTCTCATTGTTTCTATCTGCATCAAAACCAATGTAAACACAGTTTTTGTAGGAAACTTTCTGGAAATGATAATCAAATAATCTAGTAACCCATGATGATGTTGAAGTAATTTACGAGAAACAACTGCAAGAATTTCAAAGATATGTTGTGTATTCGCTTAAGATGAATATGATTGAAGAAAGCTCCTTGAAAGTGATGACGTGAGAACGTTTGTCTTATTTAGCGAGACCTACTATCGAATGCCCAGGAAAAGAGAAAGGGGAATAGTGAATGATGACAAATAAAATAATTTACAAATCGTGAAAGTGAATGTTGAATAATGCCGAAATAATATAACATCTTAACATAATATGTCGGTTGATAAATGTTCATCACTACTAACAGAGCATGGGAATACCAAGAGAAATGAGCAGGAAATCTTTTACAGAGATACATGACATTTAATATGGATTTCATAGCGATTTTTTTATTAACAAGTTTCGATATTTCGTTTGGTACTAAGCATTATGATGAATTAGGTGAAATGAGACTTATGGGGATATCAGTTTTATCAAAACGTGCACGAAAATGTTTCGAGAATGTAGGTAGATACAAAACCTAACGTCAGATTCTCCACATAAAAGTGACTCATGCAATCTACAAATGTCCATCTGAATGTCGTCAGTAATCTATTCCTTACTTATTAATTCTTCAAATAATTTACAAATATTTGAAGTTTTACAAAGTGAATATTTCTGACCAGATATGAACTTTATGTGTTTGATTTCTCAGAGTTTTAAAACAATAAGTCTGAAAGACTCAACAGGGATTTTATACTTGTAAAATTTTTCTTTGCGCTTCTCAAGCTTTTTAAACTGTAATTAAGTAAATTTGCTAAAATGTGAAAAATTTACCTCACCAAAATAACAAACAAGAGAAGGAAATTAAAAGAAACAAGCAATAACATTGACTGTATTGTACAATGTGTCATTTTTGAATAAAAATAAGTTTCTTCTACGAAACCTGATATTTCTGAGGGTAAATAAAATAATTCAGAATTTTGACTTTTTAAATAAAACTATGGTATGAATATCACGTACCTGGACAACATTATCAATGAACGAGTAGGATCTGATGTAGACTTAAAGGCAAGGATTGGAAAAGCAAGGACAGCATTCCTACAACAAAAGAACATATGAAACTGGAAACAACTGTCGGAATCTTCAGTATGAACATCAAGACAGTTCTGCCGTGCGAAGCAGAAACTTAGAGAACTACCACAACCATAATAAAAAGTACAAGTATTTATAAACAATTTTCTACGCAAGATACTCAATGTCCGTTGGCCGAATACCATCAGCAACAGCCTACTGTGGGAGACAACAAACGAACTTCCAGCTGAAGAGGGAATTAAGTAAAGACATTGGAAGTGGATAGGATATAAATTACAGAAACTACCAAACTGCGATACGAGGCAAGCACTAACTTGGAATCCTGAAGGGAAACGGAAAAGATGAAGGATGAAGAACACACTGCGTCGAGAAGTAAAAGTAAACATGAATAGAATGAATAGCGACTGGAAAGAATTGACCAGGATAGAGTTCGATGACGAAAGCTGGTAAGCAGCCTGTGCTCTTTCACGAGGGATGGAAGGCTTAAGTAAATAAGTGATAGTATGAAAATCGGTTTACAAAAGTCCCGAGCGAATAAATTTTAAAAGACGCCCAAACATAGTGATAAAAAGTTGCTAATATTAAGAACTGCTTACTTTTGTTTGAAATCACCTACAAACATGGTGTGATATAGACCGAAAATTGTATTCTTTTGATTTGATAACAAGTTCGGAAATTTTAAAAGTATACGGTGTGCATTGTGAGTTACTAACTTCATGAAAATTTCTGTTCATTACAACATAATGTGGCACGCAATAAAAGGTATATTGGAATTGGAAATGCTGCTTTTTTGTTCCAGCGACCTTGAGCGGCTTACCTCAAGGCGGTCATTTCACCCTTGAAGTAGTTCATATCAGTGGTGTGCATGTAGGCTAGATTCGATAGTATGTAACGCCTTTAGAATACCTGTATGTCTCAAGAAACGCCGAATGATATGTAGATTTGTGTATCGATTGTTTAGCTAAAGAAAACCTGTGTTGAACTTTTTAGTTGCTGACTTATAGGTAGCAGTAAGTGATTTTGTATATTTTGTCCTTTGAGATTTTTATACGCCTTTGTCCATTCATTCAGTAGTAATACCATTTTATACAATTCTGAAAGTGTTTCGACCGACGCAACCGATGATTTTCGGCAGACAAACCTATCTCAAAGGTACTTGGAATAGGATGAAATTGAAAATGTTTTTAAAGTTTTCTACAGTGTATAAAAAGTATAATTCGGATAATTGCAGATAATATGTACTCACAACGTCCAAGTACAAAGTAAGCACTCCTTTTTCTTTCGATTTATCCTAGCAACAGTGCCGTTCAGCTGTCGATTCAAAGACAAAATACTTGTGAAGGTAATTATTGTCATCAATAAATTTATGTCTACCTTAGTTATACAGATACTCAGACAACTATCTGGGAGTCTATATCATAACCGTAATGTGGAAAGTTTCCATGCTAATAATAAATAAATAAATGCCTAATCTAATGAGAATCATTGAGCCTGGGAATCTACAGCGCGAGCGCCTACAGTGCCATGTGAAATGGACGTTATGCAAGAAAGGTAATGTAGAAATATTTGCTGAATTAAAAACTTGCAATTAAGTCGGTAAGTACGTGCGAAGCCAGCTGGGGAAAAATACAGAAAATAGTAACTTGAAGATAAAACGTTTACAAAAAGTAAGATATACACATACAGATATTCAATATTACATTTAAACTCAGTGAAATTTACCTTTTCTTACAATCCCCATCCATGCTGATTTATGGTACCTCTTGTGTCGTGTAAAAAAGCCTGACTTGCAACATCCATCGCTTGTGTTATTCCGATTTTGGTACAGGTCGCACTTATGAACCGTGAACACAGAAAATCTAACGAAACCTCGACTGTAATTTTGACTCATTAAGAATTTTTCTGCAGAATCGGTAGTTACTTCGTTTTAGTTCCACATAGGACATAAATGATAGTCAGTTCAGTCGTCAACACGTATGCTAAACCAACATTCATAGACTTCAGAAAATCATCACGAATGATCTCCGACAGTTTCGTACCCCGAAAGTTTATAGAAATCTATTTTTGTGACCCCAGACCTGATTCGACGCAGATTGTTTCTGATCGTTATTGAAATATACATGTTTTCAATCCTCGTATACAATTATCTACGTAACTCGCGTTGGTGAATAACGGATACGAGAATGGATTTTTGAATACGTATATTTCGTACAACCGTTGATCGTAAAGTGATGCAAAATAAGATGAGGCGCAACGAAGAAGGCGAGTGAGCCAACTCAATTTAACCAAGAGTGAATTGATATTTATAGCCACACAAAAATAAGTTACAGACATTTGATGAATAGGATAAGATGTGTACACACATACGCTCATATAAAACCAGTCAAGATTGATAAGCGAATTATTGACAAGGCCGGAAGCTAGAATAAACTGTGTGGGATTAGCACAACAACCAATACTACATAGCCCATTTGTAGAAAATAGCACATTTATTCGAAAAAATGTTGTCTCGAAGATAACACTGAATAGGTATTTGGTTAACTCTAACATCTAGTGAGAAAAATTGTACTATTGCTAATAAAGTACAATGTCACGTGAGGGCTGGTTGTATAATATAGAAGTATCATACTTATGTAAAGAATACATAAATTTCGTAAAGATGCGAACAAAAACAGAAAGTTGGCATGCGACTAAGAACAAATTTATAAGTGTACAAAAAATTAACATGCATTTGTGTCGTGACTTTCTGTTTGATAAAAT